ATTTATAAAAAACAAAAAATAAATATTTTAATAACTTATTTGAAGTTAAATTCTAGTTAGATTATTCATATAATAGTAATATATATATTTGTTATTTTGTTTAAGTTGCATATTAATATATAACTTGTTAAATTAAAAAGTAGTATAAGCTTACTAATTCTTTATTAAAGGTTTATTAATTTTTTTATTTTGTTACTTTTTAATAAAAGAAAATCTAAAAGATCTAAGAAAGAGAGAAAACAAAACTAATAGAAGCTTAAAAAAAATAATATATTTAATCTAATTCATAGTTAAAGCTTTATATTTTAATAACTATTATAACTTCTTGTTTTGTTTTAATATTTTATATATATATATATACTTTATTAAGAAAAAGCCTTTTATAACTAAACTTGCACTTTTTACAACTAGATTTTTATACTTATACTAGTTAAAATATATAGTTTACTAGATAAGTATTAGAAAAACTACTAAATTTCTAGAGTAAAAACAAAAAATTTTTCTTTTACTCTATATTAGTATTGATAATTGATAAGAAGAATATTTTTATAAAGCCTTGAAGAAATCTAAGTTATATAGTAATAGATCTATAAAGTTAGTTAGCTTAAATAATTAAATATAGTAATAATATTAGTTTAATATAAAAATATATTAATAATTAGAGTATTTAAAATAGATAACTTACTAACAGATTATAGATATAGTAATTAATATAAAATAAACAAATAGTCTATTATTTAAATACAGACTATTTAATTAAATAATAATTAAAATTATATATATAACTAATTGTATACTTATTATATAATTACTAATTTTAGAAAATTATCTATTTATAACTATATATTTATATTAATAAAATCTAATTAGCTAAAAAAATAATTTTAATAACAAAAAAATAAAATAAATATATATTAATATAATATAATTTTATATATAAAACAAAATTAGAATATAAAAATAGAATTAATTAATAAAATTTTAAAAATTATAACAATTTTTATAATTTAATTTGTAATTTATATAAGGACAAGTGAAGCAATATAATAAAAAATAATAAAATTTACTATGAAATTTAAAATCTAAAGTTTTTCAAAAGATAACTTTTTTTTATTAAATAACTTTTATTTATACTTCTAATAAAAGTTATAAAAATAAAATTTTTAGTTATAATAGTTATTAAAATACTAAAATTAGTTTAGTAGATCATAATATATGAGTATTTTAGTTTTCATAGCTATATAATTAAAATAAAAAAATAAATATATAGTTATAAAGACTAAAACAATCATATAACTTATTAGACCTACAAATAATTATCATCTATAGTAAAATTATTTTAAAATTTTGTTTATATACTTACTTTTGAGGTTCTAAATAAAAAAATTTTTTTATAAAATTTTACTAAACCCTAACCTTAATACGAGCTCTTGGCTCTAACCCTAAATCAAATAAAAATTATTTGCATAATTACGTTACACGAAAATATAATGATAATCATAGATGATTATTATCTACAATGAAAATTAGTTCTTATTTATTTAATAATAATAATAAGATGCAATTAAAAAGTAGATATATAGTCTTTTAAAAATAAAATTTAAAGTTGTAAATAGATTAGTTGGTTAACGTTATCCCTATCTCTGTTCATAATTTTCACTAATCATGTGATTTAAATTAACAAATAAGGTTAATTAAATATTTTAATTAGTTTAAATCCCGTTGCCTGAGCCCAAAATATTGACGTTAACCAAATAACCAACTTTGAATGGACCAACCAAACTCTTATTTAACTTTGTACTAGCAATTATTTTCATAGATTCAATTTTTATTTTAGTTGTTTGCGACTTTCTTTCTGAAAACTACAATTTTATTTGACTAGGTGAGTATTCTTGAAAGTTGAACCAATAATCCTGGTTTATAAAAAAATGTTGCAAACTATAACCTCAGATAAGAGTAGAATTATTAAACTTTTAATTTAAATTTAACTCCTATGCATTTTTTTAAAAATTATTTCTTGATCAATTGATTTTCAAAAAAAAACCAACTTTCATATCATTTGAATATATTAATAATCTATTGAATTAGGCCGTTCAACGTTAATTATTAGGTTAACGTCAATATTTTGAGCTCAGGCATGAGGAGGAGGAAAAAATTTAAATAAATACATATATTCCCAAGAATTATTTGATCAAATTTATTGGCCAACCTTAATCACATGATTAATGAAGCTTATCCTGTGTTGTTATTGGCTTGTTTAATTTCTGGGGGAACAGTTAACCGAGAGGGGGATGACATTAACCTAATAATGAACTTTGAACGGCCTTATTCGTTTTCTTAATTTTGGATACATTTTAATTTAATTAATTGCTTTGGGCATATCAATGTATGAAGATGATTACCCCCCTTAACTTTAATATTAATTCAATTGATGTACTAGATGATAATGTAACATTAGAAAAAAAAAAAAAGTATTACTTTTTAAATGTAATTTATATAACACACGCATGATTCTCTTAAAAGACTTTACAGAATAATTAAATTTATCAATAGAATGGTTACGAATGACCTATTTTAATAAATTTAACGTAGAACATGCGAAACGAAATTTGCATTGGAATATTAGAAGCTTCGAAGTAATTGTTTATATGCAATTGGAAGCGTAAACTTAAATTGATGTTTTTTTTTTCGAATTAAAAATTGATAATCACGTGATACAAAAACACATCATAATACGAAATTTTTTAAATTTTTTACAAGTACGAACAAATTGAGTTTCGAAAAAAGTCATTTTATAAAAAGGAAGTAAAAAAAAAGGAATCGTAAAGAAATTCATAAAGTATTTGTATAAAGATTATAAGAAAAAAAAAACAAGGTTCGTTTTTAAAATCTGGTCATATTCTTGTTATCTTTAATCTTCACTTTACAATCCATCAATCATTTCATCATTTTAACCCCATTTAAATCTCGAATCATTCCAAATAAATCGATATAACACAAGTTCATTAATGATCTTACTAAAATAAGTATGATCTTTCTACTAATCCTTTCTAAAATTGTAACCATTACGTACAAACTAGTACGTACGGATGACACCGAGTTCGTATGGCTGATACGATAATTCAGCATTGCATGAAAATCAACAAATAGGCACATTGCAGATATGTATGTATGCACGGTGTGAATTTAGGTGGTTGTTTGTTTATTTATATACCATATTTATATATTTTTTTATACGTATAATTATGAAAAAGTAATATGATTAGTAGGATAAGTACTCATGATACTAAAATCATATCATTTACATATAACAAGAGAAATACTAACATTTAAGCTAATTATTTATTCTATGAATGATTCAAGTTCATAAATTAATCATTTCATTCGGTTTTTTTTTTTTTTTATTAAACAAATGAAGATTACTAATAAGGGACTTTGTTAACAAATTAGGAAATAAAATTGTTTCACGAAAGCCGATTGGAGAATATTTAAACTTCTAACTCTTTCGGAAATCATGTGATCATTGAACTCGTAAATCGAATTGTTTGTTTAAAAAATTTTTTTTTGTTAAATTATATTCTAAACAATGTGAAAACGTCGGCGCTTTTGGAAAGTTGCTAATGAGTACATATGAAAAATAGACACGCAGTAGATCTAATCGACGATTTATCTGGTCGGTCAAAGTTATTAAGTAAAGATATAATAAGATTATATGTATATCTGATATACTTTATTGTATTATGGACCCGTGACTTTATTTTTTTTTAAAATTTGTTCCGAGATTTTAATCATATTTGTCATTCATTGTTACGCGATAATAGTTTACTATCTCTCTTGATTTTATACAGTATGATTTTATCTAAAATATAATAATTATTATTATTAACCATATGATCATCTGCATTGATTTAACTTAATCGATTAATTATTAGATTTATTCAATAATTTAAAATTTTTTTTTTTACTCTTACTTTATCTTCATATCTCTTTTAACACTTTCGCGCCATGTTACTTTCGAAAAAAGTAATGAATTTGTTGAGTGGCGCAGTTAGCCAAATTTCAATTTTCCATGATTTTTGAGAATTTAATATTACTGATCTACGAATGCATTTCTTTAATTACCATTATCCTCGATCACGTTGTTAACACTGCATAGATGCTATAATAATTCACACAAAACTTTCTTTGGCCTTCTAAAGACAATTTTTACCTTCTTTTGTGATGAAATTATTTCTTTTTTTTTCAAAACTTGCAGAATTCTTTAGATTACTTAATTGGCAAGTTAAAAAAAATGCAAAATTCGACCGACAAGTTAAATTTCGTCCGAGACTTTGAAATTTATATCCAAAATTCATTTATAGTGTGGCGCAGCTAGAAATCAAATAAATGAATTCAACACAAAATTTTCAACTTTTCATTCATATTTTTGACTTGTTTCTTTCAGAAAATTTCTAAAGAATTTAAAAACTTGAAGAAATTTGTAATTTTTGTAAGAACTAGACAAAATTAACGATCCCAAGTTTTTTCTCACCGGGCTTTTTTTAAGAAATGATAAAAAAAACGTGGAAACCTTTGAAAATTTGGAAAGTTTTTTTAAAAACGAAGAAAAACTTTCTCGTAATCCTTTTAAAAAGTTATTTTTTTTACATTTTTTCTAAAGTTTTCGTGTACTATCGATTAACTTTTTGGATAAAGTATTGTAAAATTTTTTGTGTTACGAGTTGAATGAGCATCTAATGAACTTGCATTGATAAAACTTCGTTTTTTAATCGGTTATTCGCTTTAAAATCACCATATCTGGGTATCGGTGTTCAGATCTTTGCATGCCCCGAATCCATACTTGGGACCTAAACATGTGCCACGATTCCCATGAAACATTTCAAGCCCATTTGCATAATAAATAAATAGGCCTACAGTTGTACCTATTTATTTCTCCCTTTTTGTCATCCTCACACCCGAACTCTGTCCAACTCTTTCTTCCTTTGAAAAAAAAAAAAAAAATGTCAAATAATTCGAGATTAGAATCCATTATTAATACTTGGTGTGTATATATCCTCTTCAATCCAAACAGGTTAAAAGTATACGTTGGTAACACTCATGACCTCAAGGTAATATAAATATCAATTCTATATTGGGATTGTGCAATACAAATAAATAAGCCATGAAATCAAAAAACTATTTTTTTTTTTTTTTCGTTCAATAAACTTTTATTATTATTATTATTTTTTTAATAAAAAAAAAAATATATATTAGGACCGTCTTGAAAAACATAACCGTATAACAACAGAAGGAGTAGGTGGACAAGCATGGGAACCTATTGTTGCTATTACTGGTTTTTTAAATAATAAAGAAGCAACAAATTTTGAAACCAATATTAAAAATTTAGCAAGAAAAAAAGAATTTGCAGAGTATGCATCTCTTTATCAAGGTCGTTGTCCAGCGATCGTACTTAAAAGGATCATAGCAATTAGATGTTTATTATGTGAATATGATTATTGTTGGAGAGCACCTCGTGGAAAGAAACGTCGATATGTTTTACATTGGGGAAGTTATATGGAAAGAGATCAAAGACAATTAGACGTTTTACAACATTGCCCTTGGGCTAGAGTTGGAAGAAATGTTAAACATAAAAAAATGGAATTATCCGAAAGAATTAATAATACTTTAACAAATAACACAGATGATTCATCATCATCAGCTTCAAGTAGTTCAACACCTGACCGAAATAGGACTATGTCAAGAAAATCCAGGGTTGAAGATCGCCTTGGGACCGTCAGTAAATTGATGTTAGAATGATTTTAACCAATCAAATTACATAATATCACATGACGTGAACAAACTCTCATAAACTTGCATGACATAATGATAAATTATATCGTTATGCATAAAGATACTTTTTTTCTCAATTACAGCACTTTTTTTTTTAAAATATAAATTTTTTTTTCAATGCGGACTTTTTTTAATAGCGAATTTTAATATGTAGCGATTTTTTAATAGCGATTTTTTTTTTTTAATTCGAATTTTTTTTTTTTTTTTATTGCAAAAAAACTTTTTTTTTTTAATTGCAAAAATTTTTTTAATTGCATAATTTTTTTTTTTTTTTTTTTTTTTTTTTTTTTTTTTTTTTTTTTTTTTTTTTTTTAAATACGAACTTTTTTTTTTTTTTTTTTTTAATAATGAACATCTAAACTAAATGTATTTTAATAATGCCTTAAAACATTGACAGCAACGTCTGAAATATTGAAAGCAACGTTTTTCCAATACTACAAATATTAAAAACCAACATTTATACATTACTGCAATATTGAAACCAACGTTGTTGAATACCAACGTTCGTTTACTCAAAATTGAAACAAATAAATAAGATTATACTGTAAAAAAAGACGCTTGAAAAACAAATGGCCCGAATAATTAACCAACAATGTACCAAATTAATGACAAAAAAAAAAAAACCGGCCAAATAAATAATAAAAAAAATGCACCGAATAAAAGACCAGTAAATGCCCGAATAAACGATGTAAAATGTAATAAAGAAATGGCTATTATAAATGCACCGAATAAGCAATAAGGAACACCGAATAAACGACAATGAAAATATACCGAAAAATGTGCCCAATGAAAATGGTGAAAAAATTCACCGAAAAATTAAAAATAATAACCAATGAAAAATGCACCGAATAAACGTAAGGAAAGACCAAAGAGATGGATGAAACGCCTGAATAAAAAGAAAATAAATATAGTAAATCGTAATTTTACTGTACAAGCAGATCACGTCAATTTACTGACGGCCTAGGAGAATTCGTCTTTGAAGCCAGGCTCAATAATATATTAATTTCTTAATATTACGTCATTTAGTTTGACATTTTACAGTAACGGTAATTGATCTTTTACTTTTATCTAAGTTTCAATATCTTAAATTTCAAGATGTAAATTTAGGTTAGAGTTTCAGATTTAAAGTCGATTATCAATCTTCTTAATTTCGTTCGTCGTACACATAAATTTTTTAACCACTGAATAGCATATATTTTTATGTTATGGAAATTCTATAAAAAAAAAAATTTCTTTTAATTCAATTTTTATTTATTTATTTATTTTCTGGCATTCATTTTAAATTTGCGATAACAATCCATCCAATTTTTTTCTTCTCTTAGAAAAAACTTCTTCTGCATTATTATATTATTATTATTTTTTTTTTTGTCTTTCACAAAAAATAATTTAAACATTTTCGTTCAATGAGACATGTGCCAAAATTTAATATATAAATTAAGTCATTGTAACTTCTATAAAGGAAAAAAGTATTTAAAAATAGTAAAATTGTATTAAATAGGTAAAAAAAAAAAAAAAAAAAAAACAATTGCACGCAATACGTAGAATTTTCCAAATTCATCAATATATATTTACTGAAGTACACAAAATCAACCCTTATATGTTACTAACATGACACCAGATTATGACAGATGACAAAAATATTGTATCATTTTATCAAATGGATAATAAATATTTGTTATAATTACAGGTTTTGTTAAAATTTCCAAGTTCGAGCGATATAATTATATTGTAGATCATAAGTTATAAATTCACAAGATTTCAAAACTATCAAGAAAAGGATAAAACTTACTAATGTTTTTTACAATTTCATTGGTTTAACAATTTCTCATGAATATCTTTTCCCTCATAATTTCGCGGATATTCATTATTATATTATTTCGAGTTAGTTAAGTTTATAATTTAATTCTTTTTTTCAAATTATCTTTGTAAAAATCATAAGCTCGATTAAATATTGTGAAAAAAGAATTTTTTCATGACGCGTTTTTTGTTCTGTTATCACGTGTATATAAACAGGGCTGCAGTTGTTTTAACACTTTTTCGCGTATGATATAAGAGCAAAGTTTTTTGATTTAAATTTTTATTAATTTGTACATTTTTTATGTCATATACTATAATTATTAATTTATATAAATCTTTTTTAACAAAACTTTTTTTTTTTTTATCGTTATATAAAAGCACAACGCGCAAATTAACCCAATTATGTTTACGCCTCAATCAAAGATCTACAAATATTGCAGTACTTTCATGAACTTGACTTGCATGCATGAGTTATGTTGATCTCTATTATGCTTTCTTTCTTTAGCAGGTTTTGAAACTATACCTAAAATAATTATTTGGTTATATTTAGCATGAGTACGTATGTAAAAAAAAAAAAAAAAAATTAATCTATTATTAGTAATGTCATTTACCGGTTCCAATATCACTGTTTAATATACCTTTTTTTTTTTTTGATACACTAAAAAAATCAAAATTACAGTTAATATAAATATATGCATATAATTTTATATTTTAATTAAAATTCAATATATTACAAATCAAAAACAGTATTTTTGAATAATTACGTAAGTATGTAATCTGCTTTTAAGTGATGCATCATGATTTCATATTTAAGTAAGTCGATTCTATTATATAAATCATATCTGCTTAATAAATGCATCATACAAAAAATTATTATTGTTTAAAAAAACTGAATGTTCGAGTTTAACTAATAACTTACGCATTTTTATTACAACTCCTTATTATGCAACAGTTGTGGTCCTTTAAAAGTTGACAATATTTAAAAAAGACTTAAATTGGGATATCAAGCATACGTACGTATAACCATTTGATAAGACAATTACTTAACTAGGAAATTCTCTATTATTGTTTCCAACTAGTCGAGCATTGCTCCGGGATCTAGTTCGTAACTTTTATTGGTTTTTAATAAAGTTATATAAAATAATGTTTATTAAATCTAGTTTATAGACTCGGGCATATTGTTTCAGAACCTAGTTTATAATTTTTATTAATTTTTAAAGTTTATTTAAAATAAAGTTTAAATAAAAAAACTTGATTATTAAATCTAGTTAATAGAACTGAGTGTTATTCTAGAAGTTATTTCTTAATTTTTATTAGTTTTTTAAAGTTATATAAAATAAAGTTTATTAAATCTAGTTTATAGATCCAGGTGTTGCTTTAAAAACTAGTTTGCAATTATTAGTTTATTTAAAATAAAGTTTAATAAAAAATTAGTTATTAAATCTAGTTTTTAAACTTGAATATTATTTTAGAAACTAGTTTTTAATTTTATTAATTTTTAAAGTTTATTTAAAATAAAATTTAAATAAAAAAATTAATTATTAAATCTATTTTTTAGATTTAAATATTGCTTTTGAGATTAGTTTTTAATTTTTATTAATTATTTTTTTTTTTATAAAAAAATCTAACTTTTTATTTTATTATTATTTTATACTAATTACATATATAAATATTTTAGCTAAATTGTATTTATAAACATATTAGCTAAATTAAACTTTATTTTTATATTATAATAATATATTAAACTAATATAACTAAGTTTAATTAATTATACTAGTTAATAATTGTTACAATTCTAAACTTACTCATATATCTATATAGCTTTAACTGCTAAATATGATTAATTTGTTAACTAGTTTATTTTTAAAAATTATTATATTCTAGTTATAAAAAAATCTAATTTCTTGATAGTTTGCTAATAGCTTAGTTAAGAATTTTTTAATTATTTCTTATTTTATATTAGATTAATTTAAGATAAGTAAATTATAAAAAATAAAAATAAAAATTATATATATAATAAAAGATATAAAAATTATATATTATATAATATAATTAAATAAAAAAATCTGTTAACAAATAAAAACTTCTAAATAATAAAAAACAAAAAAAAAAGAATTAAATATTTTTTTTAGAATAGTATAAAAATTATATATATATAATTATAATTAACTTTACTTGTAAAAACTAAAAAGAAAAATAATAATACAAAATATCTATTAACTATAAAGAAATCTTAATACTCTCTTAACTATATTTATTATTATATTACTTAACTCTTATAATCAGTATGCGAAATTCAATATTCTCATGGTTCTCAGAGAATATAAAAGTATTTTTGAGAACATTTTAACTTAAAAAATGTTCTCTTATTTGAGAACATTTTGTTAAATATTATGTTCTTAATGAAAACATAAATTTATTTAAAGTGTTTTCAAGTAAATGTAATTATTAATTTATAGTTCTTAAAAAATATCAGCACCTATTTATTATTAATTAATAAGATAAATTAAATATAATTTTATTCTATTTTTCTAATACAAACTATTAAGCTTTGATTTTAAATTACAT